ATTGGTCATTTTGGAAATTATTGGAAGATGGTGGTTCTAGCCAAAAGGCCCATTCCATTATTTTGATGCAAATCCAAGACATTAAATCATTTCATTCATACATGCTTTAGTATTTTGAAAAGATAAAGTGTACCCTTGTATTTTCTTCTCACAAATGAGTCAGAATACGCTCTAACACTGCAACTTCCTTATCTGACGACTGAACTGTGTCAGGATATATAGAGTCGCCTCCCTCTTTTAGGAAACTACCTAGTGTTGCATTGTGAATATACCACAGTTAACCTAGCTGGTCCCCAACTGAGGGACATTTAGGTTGTTCCCAATCTCTTCATATCAAAGCAAAGCTGAGAAGAATACCTTTGAACATACATGTTTGTCTATTGAGGGGAATATCTACAGGTTAAATTCCTGGACGCAGAATTGCAAGGACTTCGTACATTTTGAATTCTGACAGGCGCTCCCTATTTGGCCTAAAAGGTGCTTTGGGTGATAAGACAAAGATATTTTTTTCTGTTCAGGCTTGAGACATTCTGGAATCCTCTCTGCCCCTGCTCCAATTACTCAATCATATGCTCTTCCAACTCAACTCCTAGCCTGTCCATCTCCCTTCCTTCCTTCATCCCCACTGCTGTGATCCTGGCTCAGGCCTGCATCCTTTATCATCAGGACAGCTGCAACTATCAACTCAACTTATTCGAATCCTAACACAGGGACGGAATCATCCTCTTGCTGAACCACTTCTGCTGGTGCCTCACCATGTACAATATTAAAAAAAAACACACAATTTCTTAGCCTGCCTGCCTTTCAATGCTTTCCAGTTTGTCCCTAACTTCTCCCTCATTTTTCATACACCTTAGACTTCACTGAACCCGGACCCTGGTGCCTTACTTGTGCCCCCACCTCTCTCTCTCTCCCTTCTTGGTCTGATGTGGAAATCTTGCTCAACTTTTAAGGTACATTGAAGCCCCACCTCCTCATCCACGCAGCATTGGGCCACTAGTTTAGGATCCACGTTGACTTGAATTATAATCCTGACTTTCTTGGGGGGGGGGGGGGGATGTCAATCCTCCCGAGATTCAGTTTTCGTCTGTTAAATAAAGACAAAAATACCAACCTTGTTGTGAGGATGATAGCAGGCATCAATAAAAGGTAATTCTGATCATTTCCGTGGTCACTGTGACCTTCTCACCGGAGCCCCTGCTTCCACCTGGCTGCATTAGCCTGTGTTACCGCTGGTTGTGGACAATTCTGTCTTGACCCCTAGACTGCATGCTCGCTGTGGGCAGGGCTCATGATTCGCCTCTGGACGCCACCCCCTACCCCCCCAGCCCTGGCAGAGAGCCTACAAGTAAGCGGAGACAGAGACAGAGATAAACGTGTCAAGAGAGGAAAGAGGAGAAGAGGGGCAGACGAGCGGAGAGCGGCTATGGAGCTAGGCTTCCG